GGGGGGGGGGCGTGTAAGGTGCAAGAGATCGTGATGTTGGAGATGACGTTGAACAAGCGAGACAGTCAAAGAGAAATCCTGAAGAAGCGGCTGCTCGACAGGCTTAGTTCATGCGTCGAATGAGCTTGTTGATGGCGTCCTCGCGGTCACCGGCGCTGCAGAGGAGTCAAGTGTACGGACAGTCAGTCAGCGTATCGCAACGACGACAGTCCCGATCCATCCGGTCCGGCGGCGACCTGTTCCAGGACTCAGCCACTCACTCTCCACCTTGCACAACAGGAGTCAACTTGCGGTTGGCCCATCCACCGTTAGGGTTGGGGAGCTTGAAGGACCACAAGAAGGAGTTTGCCTGCTTGAAGTTCGGGCCGACTGTGTAGATCTCGTGAACAAGGTCCTCAATGGAGATGATACCGTATTGGCCGAGGTGCTTCTCGATGATGCTGTTGTCGGACAAAGGAATTCTTTGACGGTCGATCTTAGCGTATCCACGCTTGTAGATGAGTTCCCTGACAGACTTGAGGTTGGGAGGGCCGTAAGTGACGTAAGGTTGAACCAGTTGCAGCATTTGGGCGGTGGCCTTGGTCAGACGAAGGAAGACACCATTGTTGATTTGCAAGAGACGCAGCAATTGCAAGATCTTGCGGGGCTTGGGCGCAATGTTGCAGATACCACGCAGACGGATGACGAACACGAGCTTGGGCTGAGCCTCGACGTAGAAGTCGCCCGAAGCCTTGGCAGCCCTGCGAAGGCGGATCTGCTCGCGCTCCTGGTTCTTGTACTCGCGCGTGTACTGCTCGGCGCGCTTGAAGATCTTGGCGCGCTTTTGCCAATTGGCCTGAGTGGATGCAATGGGTCGATGTCAGCACATGCTCAATCCCAGCTGCCATAGAACGGCACAGCACCAAGCAACATCGAGCCTGCCCAGGTGATGCTGAACTGCGCGTATCCAGTGCTCGTCCGCTGGAGTTTTGACGACCCGCGTCAGACCCGAAAGATGGTTAATTTGCTGGCAGCATCGCATAGCTAGCCAAAACAGATGGTTGTTTTGCATCTTCGCGGGTTCGAGCTCCTCCTTTCCAGATCACTTTTACTCCCAACCCTCAAATCATCGCCGCTGCCTCCCACACCCTTCCCATCATCTGCCATGCGGTCGTCCGCCATGCCTAAATCGGATGGCTCGCCATGCCCCTGGTTGCCCGAGCCCATGTGTTGACATTGCAGCAGTCGTGCACTTTGCTCGGCATCCGATGCTCACCTTGCGCTTCTCGACAGCGGCGGCCGCCTTCTCCTCGCGCGACTTGGCGTCAGACTTGCGCTTCTTGAGCAAAGTCTCGGGCAGGAGCACGTCCTGCTTGGAAGGAACGGTACTGCGATCGAGAATATGCGCCACACAGCCAGTACAGAAAAGAGGCGAGTGACAGGCAGGTTCAGCGAGTAGCAGCAGAGGGGGTAAGCGGAAAAGGAGGGATCATGCGTCAGTATTGAGTTTCCACCTCTCTCATGGCTGTCTGGCCTTCCAGGAACCAGTGCAGTACGGGCCCGTAGATGCTCACGTCTTGGCAGTCGACATCTTGAGGTGTATGTGAGTCGAATCGAGGAGGTGCGATGGCGATTGTAGTGAATGAGTGCGAACATGTCAATCTTGCAGGCAGGTCAACGCAGCATGGAGCTCGAATTCGAGCGCAGCGCGCGAAGATGGGACTGCAGAGATCGCCAGGCCACGTGGTCTTCATTTTCCAGCCCTGCCACAGCGCGCGCGGCCTAGCCGTTGCAGCTGTATAGGCCTGTTGCGCGTCGCCTTCGAAAATTGACTGCCGCAGCGTGGTCGTCGCAGCGCCTGATGAAGCCTGCTATGCATGTATGCAGCCAAAGCGGTGTGTAGATCACATCGGCTGTGCCCGGCCGAATAAGCCGTCGAAATATTTTGGCTGCTTCAAACTTCAAATTGCGAGATCTTGCGCTTTCAACACCACAGCACAGCGCAGGGTGCCTGGGCTCAAACTAACCGCTTCTATGGTTAGTTCGACGTCGACGTCCAACTCTTCCACCGCATTTGCACCCTATCCGATCATCATTTGGAGATCTTGAGCACACAGCGGTCTTGTTAGGCGGCCTAGTGAGGAGGTGAGTCTTGATCATCGTTGGGGCGCAAAGCGTGCGCAGTCGGGATCAGGGGAGGGCAGGTCAAGTCAACGTGAAGATGATCGAATTCAAATCACATTATCAAGCTCAACAGTCCAAGGTTGCCACGCTAGGCATACCGTTGACGAGCATACATTCTGCAATCCTGAACGTTGTCATATCGGTGGAGCGATGAAGCGTCATACGGCAGTGGTGGGAAGGAAGATTTCTGGCTGACTCTTTACTTAGCTTGCCTTCTCGTCGCTTCAAGTCTCCGCAATGGCTCGCTCAAAGTCGAAGACCGCCTCTCGCGCAGAAGACGATGTTCGAAGTTCCAGTGCATCGCGTACAGTGTCCAAGAAGAACAAGGGCGCCGCTGGCTTCGCTACGGTGTCTGGCTTTCGTGTCTTGCGCCTAGGATCTCAAGTGCTGTATATCAGAATCCATCAAGAGAAGGATCGTGTCGAAGCGACGACAAGTCAGACACGAACGTTGTTCGTGGTCAATCTACCTACGGATACAACTGACCGACACGTCCGGGCTATCTTTGCAAAAGCCGGGCCCATCGAAGTTGTGCAATTCTGGGATCAGCGTCCCGGCTCTGTCAGCGAGGACGAAGAAGGGATGGACGTTGGAGGTCCAAGTCAAGAATTTCAGGAGCAAGCTGGCAGTTTGACAAGCGTAGCGACGTCATCGGATGCCGGGAAGCGTAAAGGTGGCAAAAAATCATCTGGGCCTCCAGCAATCGTACCCCTGCCGCCCTCAGACCCTCGACATCCGCACCGCTTGCACAGGACATCTGTATCAGCACATGTCACTTTTCTCGACGCTTCTTGCGCGCAACGCGCTCTCAGCTTGCCAGACAGCACGGCATGGCCAGATGCTTGGGCAGATATTCGCAATGCGCAAAACGCAGCAGCACTGGCTGCGATGGATGATTCGCACCCACATGGCCAGAAAAAGCGGCCAGGAAGTGCCGGTCAGGCAGCGCTTGAAGCGGGACAGAGCGTGCCTCCTTTGGGTCTAGAGTACTTCATCTCGCGACACAGGGCCCAGAGGCCTACTCCCGATGCAATCACAAAGCACGTCGATAGTGTCATCGCCCACTATACTTGGGTCAAGGAGCACCCGCAGGCCAAAGGCAAGGGAGGCGTGCCTGTAGCTAGCTACGGACCGGACGGAGAGATGCTTGATGAGGATGGCTTCACCATTGTTCAGAGAGGCGGACGCTTCGGCCGTACTGCGGAAGGAGGTGCGGACGCTTCAGGATTCAAGAGTGGACCAGCTGCCAGAGGCTCGACTGTACGCGTCGCTAGTAAGTTCATGACGCAGCAGGAAAATGGAGCAAGTGGATCGGGAAAGAAGAAGTCGAAAGAATTGGAGAATTTCTACCGCTTTCAAATTAGGGAGAAGAAGCGCGAACAGCTAGCCTCACTCAGAGAACAATTTGAGAAGGACAAACTAAAGGTTGAGAAGCTCAAGAAATCCAGACGATTCAATCCTTACTGATGAGATATTGTATTGCGCGCTCCCCACATGACCTTTAAACGCAACTGTAATCATAACGCATTCCGGCTTGGGATTGGGCACTTCTGCGCACTGCGGGTGATCCAGACTTGTCTGTTTGAGAGGGCACTTCGGAGTTATGGGTGCACCAAGTGCTTTCAGAGCTCGGTTTCGTCCCGTTGTGAGCTGAACACTTCATTGAGGTCTTGAGACGCTTTGCAGGCAAATGAACACACACGCACGGCCTCTCACGTGGTGTACCCACGACTCTCTATGCTTCACCGCGATTAGGTCGAGCGACCAGCATGACCCATCATCCCTTCTTGACTTGAGACTTCCAAGTCTTGACTCAAGCTCGCTCAAGCCACACCCCCATGCGCGTCGCGCGCAGCTCATCTTTCGGCAGGAAACTTGACTGTACGCGGCGGGGAAGAGGGTCACGCCAAGCAGCACGCAGAGACCCGCACGGCCCAAGACTCCGAGCTCCACCCGAGAAGTCACAACGCAGCTGCATGCTACAGTCACAGTAGCTGGTGAGGGGACTGCATAGTCACAGCCGTGCGTCACGTTCGAGTCGCGTACGTGCGGCAGCGGTGCCTGCATTTAGCTTCAAGATTCAAGTTTACAGATGGAGTCAAGAGTAGCAGCATGCACTTCTCCATCATTTGCACTCCCTCCCTCATCCCTCTCTTGGGCTGCCTCTCTTGGTCGCTTGTCCTGCTCAGCTGGTTAACCTGTCATTCTAGTCACGTCAAGCTAGCGAGCATCTTGGCAACTTTGAAGCAAGACTTCTGGAAGCGCGAGCAAGAGACCTCCAGAGAGGAGGCTCAGCCCCGAGCTCGGAAGATAGCCTCGCCCGCGATTCGCATACAAAAAGCATCACAACAGTTCCTCACCGACACCTGAACATTTGCGGCAGCGGCTAAGCAAGCACACTTTCACCAAGGCGGGACTCATACTGCTCGCTGGTCCCTCGCGCAAAGATGCCTTCCGCATCGCACCCTTCGCTCTCCTCGGCCCTTGCTTCCATCGAGGAGCAGTTCGATCTCTCGCCGATCAAGCTGCAAGGCATTTTGGACAGGTTCAGAGAAAGGATGGTGTACGGCTTACAGACTCACGGAGCTGCGATGGCCATGATACCCAGCTATGGTGCGTGCGGAACCGATCTGCCTTCACGCAATCGTCTCAACACTTGCTGCGTGCTTCCTCTGTCGAAAAGTGCAGAAGAATGCAGCCCTGTTGAGCGAGCTCGTACTGATGCCAGCAATGTTTGCCGACAGTCACGGGCACGCCGGATGGATCGGAAAAAGGCGTCTACTTGGCTCTGGACCTGGGCGGAACGAATTTGTGCGTAGAGGGTAGGATCATCAAGCGCTTTGTCCCGCTCCGAGCAGACGAGCGAGGCATGATCGGCCTCGTATGACAGCAGAAGGGACTCCCCTGCTCACAGATTCATTGTCAATCCTCACAGGCGCGTATGCGAAGTGACGCTAGGTGGTGAAGGGAAGGTCAGCATGAAGCAGGAAAAGTACAAGGTGTGAGTAGGTCCGACTCACACATTCTGGGTCGCTCGTGTGCATTCCTTGACGAGCTTTCATCTCACTGATACAGTTCCGATCAGCTCAAGACTGGCCCAGTCGAGGACCTGTTCGACTACATTGCCTCTTCAGTGGCTAAGTTCTTGAAGGATTTCAGCAGCGCGGCTCCTCAGAACCCGCAGGATGGTCCTTTGCTTATGGGCTTCACCTTCAGTTTCGTGCGTGATAACACCAAGGACGTCGGAATGTGCGGCATAGTAGCCAGGATACTGACCTCATTCCAACGGGGCGCACGACTGCTTGTAGCCCGTGGAACAGACAGCTATAGATCGAGGCACTCTTATCAGCTGGACGAAAGGTTTTAGCTGTCCTGGGGCCGTGGGTCTAGAAGTTGTACAGCTGCTGCAAGGGTGTCTGGATCGGCAACATGTCCCTGTCCGGGTGAATGCGCTGGTCAACGACACTGTCGGAGCACTGTTGGCGCACGCTTACCATGCCAAGGGAGCGTTGCTTGGAGCCATCTTTGGCACAGGCACCAATGGAGCTTATGTGGAGTCGGTAGAAAGAATTGGCAAGATGAATGCGGCTCACGCTCACGGTGAAGAGACGATGATCATCAACACCGAATGGGGAGGCTTCGATGACGAGGTGCGTTCCGATGACGACATCCGAGCGCGTTTGGAGCTTGCGTCGTCTTCTGACACTTTTGGGAACGCTTCCAGCGCGCCGCGCTACTCATCACCTTGTTTGACAATACCGTTGATCGGACTGCGATCAGACCTCGACACCACGCTTTTGAGAAGATGATCAGCGGAATGTGTACGTTTGACTCTCACTGCGCTCAAGTCGGAGATCGCTCACGTGCATGGCCGCTTCTCCGTCGCAGATCTTGGCGAGGTCGTGCGGACAGTCTTGATCCACCTTGTGGACTCTCTGCATCTCTTCCAAGGTTTTTCCTCAGAGCTACTAAACAAGCAGTACGGCTTCGACACCGCGTACGTGTCGGCAGTCCTCGCAGACAAGAAGCCCTCGAGTTCTGCCGACTCGCCCACTCGATTGGTTCTGGTGGACACGTTAGGTATCAAATCTGAGCACGTTGCCGAGGGAGATGTCGAGACTGTCAAGGCAGTGTGCAAAATTGTGGGAAGGCGGGCAGCTAGGTTGAGCAGCGTCGCTATTGCGGCAACATTGCAGCATACTGGGCACGATCAGCATCGAGGTGCCGAGTTGCAGGAATCCGACTACATCGATATTGGCTGCGACGGAAGCGTGTACGAATTCCTGCCTTACTTTGAAGAATGGTGAGCATGTCGAAGGCTGCTCCCAGAGCGGACCTGGCAGATCTGACCACATTTCCTGCGCCGCGTCGACTCCAGGGTAAGGGAGGCATTGCGAGATCTTGTCGGAGAAGGCGCCGAAAAGCGCGTGCGAATGGCACTTGCAAAGGATGGCAGTGGAGTGGGAGGTGAGAAGCTATGCTTTATGGATGACTGCGAAGTGTTCGCTAAGCCTGCTGACTCTGCTCATCCCCCTCCTCTCCAGCTGCTTTGTGCGCTTTGCAAGCCAAGAAACAACATGATAGAATGCTTGCCAGAAGGTGAGAGGTGATTCTGGCAAACTCAGCTAACACCGGTGCCCCTGTACTGAGCGTATTTATGATTGTCCATCTCCAGCAACACGATTTGATGCGAGTCAAACAGTTTGAGTGCTGCGCACCGGAGGGCCCTGCCGCTCACAATGATGATGCGCAACTCCCTAGTGACTGTCTCCTCTGGATACTAGCAATGTCATTGGTTGTATGGTATGCAAGAATGCGAGTTTGAATGCTCGTGACAGTCTGGAAAGGTACAAATGATGCTGCAAATATGGATGAGGGGCTCTAGGTGTTGGCTAGGAGGGGCTCCACGGCGCTCTCAAGGACATGCAAGGCATGATAGCGAGCAAGACTGCGCATAAGCGTCAAGCGTCTCATGGTATCTTTCCTGGACACCGTCAGTCCCCAGGTTCCAGAGCAAGAGCAGTGTGGCGCCATGTTGTTGGCTCTGACTCCTCCACACTTGTTGCAACGCAAATCTTGCAGCGCAAACGTCAACAACAGCGACTGCGCAATGGATACGAGGCGCGCTTCGATCGCTGATCGGTCGTAGGCAAATTTGCAGCAGGCGCATTGCCACTCTCGAGCTTCTCCAGGTCGTGCCGGCATCAGATCCGCATCCCGCGTCAAATCCAGCGTCCGCTCATCGTTGCAGAAAGAGCAGATGACCATCGGTAATTTGAACGATTCGCACGGGTTTCGCCATTCTGCCACCGCTGCGAATTCTCGAACGCCGAGCAACTCGAGCAGGTTGCGACGGCAAATGCCGACTTCGACATTCAAGTCTTTAGCAAGGCCCAAGACTGCCATCGTGGTCTTGACGAACTCCAACGCAGGCGAAAGGTCGCCCGTCGCTTGTGCGAGCCGGCCAGGAAGGTCAGGAAAAGACCATTGCTCGGTGGCCTCAAAGTATGCCTCTTCGTCCTCTGCTCCCGCTGCTTGGGCAGCTTGATACTCGTGGCGAACCTCAGCCACCACCCGTAACAATTGGCGAGTGAGCTTGTGATTGACGTAGTCCTTGGCCGCTTTGATCTCCGCCGTTTTGAGAGGATCGACGAGGGCCTTGTTCGGGTCTGCCATGTCCGCACTTTCATTCTGCACAGCAGATTCATCCAGTTGGTGGTCTCTCTGCGTGCCGGCAAGCGGCGTCGTCGCTTGCTGAATCACCCGCAATGGCGTCCGCTCGAACGCAATCATGTTGCGGCGCTTGTTCTCGTACAAGTGGAACAAGAAGGCGCCGATGACTGCAGCGAAGCGCTGACGAAGGGCGCGAGGCAAGAATTCCTGGACGTTCCAGTTCATGTCAGTCTCCCAAGTCTGACTGGGCTCAATTGCATTTGGATCCGGTGAGATTACGCCGCCAAAGTTGGCTTCATCCATCCACAGAAGTAGCTCCCAGTGGTTGGTGATGGCCAATTGCAAATGTTTGAAGAGGTCTCTGCTTGCTACCGCAGACAGCAAGTAGCGGCCGTATGCCGCTGCACTTCCACCCGTGGGCTTAGACGTCAGGAGGAACAACCGACTGGGTGAAGCGAAGACAATTGATGCTCCGAGTCGCTTGAATTCTGCGAGCAGCTGGAGGAGCGTTTTGCGCATTAGTCCCTGCAGGAAGGCCTTGAGTGCAGGCTCGAAGAGTGCGCTCTCCGGGGTGGAAACCCATCTCCAGAAATTGTCAGCGAGTCGTCCCGAGTATGCAGCTTTTCCGTGCACCTTGTCGATGAACCACGCCTTGACCATTGCTTTGACGGTAGTAAAGACTTGCGATGTCAATACGGCATCACCGAGTGAGGTCTCTGAGTGTACAGTGCCTTTTGCATATTCGTCAAGATTGTGCGAAGACGTGTCGAAGGCCATTGACCCTGCGGCAGTCCCTTCCATGTCATTGACGGAGCCCGATTGTAGCACAGCGTCCATCGCCAAGTCGCGCATGGCAATTTCCAGAACGACTCGAGAGTACAGCCCTGGGCGAGAGATCTCCAGCAATCCCTCCTCGTCTCCTTTGATAGAGCGTTGAGCGGCGTGAGCATCTTCTTCGCGCCCTCCAAGGTCTGGTGACGGCGTGCTCGACCACCAGAGCACCATGTCCTGCGCCAACAAGCGGCGTGCGAAGTCGATGTCTGCTCCGGCAAGCACAAAGTCGCGCTCGATGTTGCAGAATGGCAGGTCGAAGTGTTCAGCCTGCTGCAGCCACCGCTGCAGCCACAATGATAGGCGCAGATAGCAGCCAAACATCCTCCTCGCGCTCGCGATTTGCCAATTGAGAGCCGGGAAGTCGTCCTCGGCTCGTGAGGACGGAGCAGCCATGATGGGAAAGTCTGACGCGACCCCGCCCAGAGCTTGCTCGTAGTAAGACTGGGGTCGTGACGAATTGATCACCAGCACAGCGCCACCCTGCCTTGCCGTTCGCATCGTGCTGAGCTCCCTCGCAACGGCACGAAAGGCGCGTTCCGGCGTCGTGTGGACCCGAGTCTCGATGTTCAATGCGTCTGCATAGTCAAAGACGCCTTCTCCATCGACTACCTTGTCAGTTTCACGGAATTTAGCGATTCGCTGTGCGTACATTGGCTCGAGGCGCGGAAGCTGCTGCAACCCGGCTGTGTCGACAACGTGGACACGAGCTTGCCCTTCGGGCGAGACAAGGCCGATGAAATGTCTTGTGTCTTTCTGCGCATGGTAGAGCCAAAAGTAGCGAAGTCCTCTTCCGCCGTCGAGATACTTTCGCCGTCTCAGAGCGCCGGAAGGGCGCTCAGCCTTGGACAATTCGTGGAGAGATATACCTGCATCGAGCACGCGATCGATGGGCACGGGAGTCCTCGAAGCGATCGCGCAGGAGCCGCCAAGGTTGATGTGAGCTCTGACTGAAAGGGGCACCTGCATTTCGAAGACGCCATCCACGTTCGGGTGATTGAGCAGCGATGAGAAGTGCGTCTCTTCCTCGAGGTACATTGTCTCTGAGACGGTGATGCGGTACAGCTCCAAGCACTGCCTGCCACGAGGCAGCGTGCGAGACACGCGCTCGTACAGGTACCCGGTGCCAAAGGTTTCAGGTCTTGGTGGTTTCTTGAAGTTGATGTAGAATTGACGGGGCACGTGGAGCTTGAGGCTCTGCAGCTGACCTGCCACAGAAATCCATAGCCGGAACTCGCCGGGAGTTGATGCGCCACTGATCTGCACCACATCCCATGTAGCAGTGGCCAGTGTCTGAGATCTTCGTGCGAGCATCGCGTTCATCGTGCCCAGTCCTCTGCCTCGTGCAGCACCGCCGAGCGCGCCCTGCTGCTGAGCTCGTGCTCTCCGCTCCTTTGCCCATTTCTTCTTCATGACGCGAACCCAGCCACGATAGTCGACCGTAAGGTCAGGGACTGGCTCGTCCACCTCGACCACTGGTGCCACTGTCTGATCCTTGAGGGCAGGCTTCGCCAATGGCAGAGCGCTCGTAGATGGTTTCATCGACAAACTCCTGTCGTGTTGCACTTGGAAGGCATCCGTGAGCTTGCGCTGCTTGAACTTGTCCTCACTTGCGGTGACTCGCTTGAACAGCCAGTCGGGATGGCGGATCCGAGGGACGGGATTCGGCACCTTTTGCATGGCTGCCGGAATGGTGATCAGCTTCTGTATTACTCCTCCGAAACGCTCGATGTAGTAGTCCCAATCCAGTACGCTTCGAAGGTCGAAATCAGTCAGGGACGGGTCCCTCAGAAATTTTCGCAGGTAATACTGCTTGATGGCGGGCTCCGCATTGAAGATTGCCACTGGTACCGCGCGCTCCGTGACAGGCGCGCCAAAAGGTTTCGCAGAGACGATGAATTTACAGGCCAATCCTTTGTCCTTGACCATCTGTGCGCCCAAGAACTCCGCCAAGCGCTTGGCCGTTGTGATTGCGGTAGACTTTTGATCTCCATACTCAGCAAGGGTTCGAGACATGCTCTTATTCTCGGCAATGAGGTCAATTAGCTCATCGTCGTAGAGTGTTGCACCCTTCGAGAATAGAATGTCGAGCCACTGATCCGCAACTGACGCGACCGCAGCATAGCATTCCTGCAATGTGCTGCCGAGGAGAAATTGTTTGAAGATCTGCGTTTGGAAGTCCTTGATGAGTTGGAGCTCTCCTCTTCGTTTGACCTCGAAGCCTTTGAGCTCCGCCAGACTACCATCATGCTCGAACACAGCATACCGCTTCTTTAGCAGCTTATCTTCCTCCTTACTACTCGGCAAAATCATTGCGCGATAGGGCCCGTCCAGTTCGAAAAAGATCGAGTTCTCGCTGTGCACTTCGTACCGTCCCGAGGCAGGATCGGTCAGCGTGTGGTATTGATGGTTCGTGAAGCGTTCGTGCGTGAGGTAGTTCAGCATAGTGCACGGGTACGAGATGCCAAGCTTTTTGCCGCTCCGCGTCTTGAAGGCGAAATTCTCGGGAAAAAGGCCGGGCAGCATACACCAAATACCATCCGTGTCCAGCTCGAGAGGTCGTCCGATCCGGTCCACGAGTTCTTTGGCCATCTGAATAATCTTGGCACCTGTGAGGCACGTGATGCCTGCCATCTCCATCGAGTACCACCGTGCTCCCTTTCGCATGACGTAGCCGTAGAAGGAATTGAGGATGCACTTGTGAGCCAATTGCATCGAGTCGTAAAGCACGATCATCTTTCGTGCTTCTGCAACGCCCGCCGGGTTTGCGTCGTCTCCAGTTCCTGTTTGCCGCGTGTCCAGGTTCTTCTTCCACGTCTTGTGCAGACCTTTGTACTCGTAACGCCGATCCCGGAAGGCTCTAACGGTGTCAATGTAGAAGGGATTTTCTCGCTGGCAAATAGTCGATGTCCGCACGATGGTTTTGGTGTCGTGCGTCTTCCTGTAAACTTTTCTGCTGTAGTCACCCAGACGTTTGTGCAACAGTGCAGATTGCTCAGAGGGTGACAAGTCGTAGTACGTCCGCTTGGGACTAGTCTTGTGTCTGCCAGGAAACATTTCGCTGGTCAAGGCAGACCGGATCATGTTGACCTCGTCGCGCTTTGGTGGAAAGTATTCTCCACGCCAAGCCCACTCCATCTTCTTGTCGCAAGTCATACCGGGTCTGTTGTAGTCACAGGTAGCGCAAGTAGCTTCGTCCACGACCGAATCAGGCTGCAGCCGATTGGAAAGCATGATGTTGGGATACATGGCTGCAACATCCAAGTGGTAGATCAGGGGCTCCACACAGACTACCGGCGTATCTCGCATGACCTCTAGCTTTTGCTGAATCTCGGCCTTGACTTCGTCATAATTGGTGATATCCTCAACGTCCATCTTGCCCTCCACGCGAATGCTGAACTGCAGCGCCGCATCGAGATCGTCGATGAGCTGCAAGAAGGTTAGAGTAAGCGCACAGCATCGCTAATGTTTGCTTAAGAGCAACTCACTTGCTGCAAAGCAGAAGGATCGAGTTTGAAGTCGGTCGCAATGTCGCTTCTGAAAACACCTGCTTCCAGTGCTTCTACATGGCCACCCACGTACGTTTCCGATTCCAACAGGTGACCTTCGTATGTATTGCCGACGGGGTCAGTATGTCGGTTTGGCATGACGATGTTTCCCCTGAAAGCTTCGACCATCAGCAAAGTCTCGCAAAGCGTGCCACTGCCCTTTCTGAGGACTTCGTCGGGGTTGAGTGGAATGATGTTGCAAAGACTGAAAACAAAAGGGTGCACATACTTCATGTAGAGATAGTAGGTCGCTACGGCATCCGAGACTGAGTACTGCGCCAACGTCTGCGGTTGCTCGATGGCGTAAGGTGTCATCAGTTCTGGATCCAGCTCCATGGGGTCGTAGCCTAGCTTTGCTACAGTGACGGCCTTGAGGCCTTGACTTCCTTGTGGAAGGTATGAGTCTCTCTTGACCCATCGAAAGCAGTCCATGTGCGCACAAGACCTGCTCTTGTATTCGTTTTCGCTGTCAAGGGCAAAGCCTATCTCGTGCAACAAGCTCAACCCGTGATACTTGGCTCTGGCGTCCAAGAATGGAAAGTCGAAAGAATCACCATTGTACGTCGCGACGACGCGCGGCTTCGCTTCTTGAAAGTGCGCAAAGAAACGTTGGAGCAGGGCGAGTTCGTTGGCTTCGTTGTAGATTACGAATGGACCTTCATACTCCTTCTTCGGCGAGTACTCAAAATTGCTGATATCTTCGCTGACAATCTCTCGATTGGTAATGAGAAATCCCTGGCCGTCTATCATGTACGAGATCATCATGACGCAGTCCGTCTCTGCTACTGGGAACTTGAGCGGCTGCTTCGTAGTCTCGATATCGAACGCAAGCACTACGGGCTCGGCACGCTTCACCCGAGCTGGCACCGAGTTGATCGTCACTGCGCCTTCGTGAAAGCCGACGTCGTACCACATACCGACGCGAATGTCTGCATTTGAAGGTGAGAGCCGGCATGCTTAGCTCAACATGTTTGAGGCAAAGCCACGCAACGCTTGACTCACCATTATCGATGGCTACGCGAAGGTAATAAGGCACATCGTACTCTCGCAGATCCACGATGCACTCTTCCGGATCCTGATTCTGCTTGCCGAAGGTGCCTTTGAGCTTGTTTCCCTTCCAAGTATCGTCGTCGTTCAAGTAAGCAGCCTCGACGTCCTCCACTTCCACCTCCATTTGCGCCACAGCGCTATCTGCCAAGACGTCTGCGTACGTGTCGACAGCGTCTCGACGCTTTTGTGCCCGCTGAGCCATTGGTAGCAGATATCTCCGAACCGTGAGGAGATCGTGGACGTTGTGAAAGGTCAGCTTGACGTACGTCCGCTTGTGTCCGACGAGATGATTGGGCAGCTTGAGGTCTTCTTTGCGCTCTCTAGCACAAGCAACGACGAGTCCCTCGAACTTGCGAAGCATCCACTCCTCGACGTGCGCCTCTGTGCCTGGTCTGCAGCCCACGAGAAGGTAAGGTTGGTACTGCACAGTGACCTTGAAGCTGCTGGCATCATCATCGATAAAATAGAAATCGACGGCAGACTTTCCGCTAGCGTGTCCACCATCATCCGTGTCCCTCATGATCGTGGGGTGCATATTTACGAGCCAAGCCTGCCTCGAAGGGCCCGCTTCCACCCGTTCGAATCCCAGCTTGGCATCCAGATCATCGTGCGCTGCTGCTTCTTCGAATCTATCTTCGGATGCCGTAGCATCGTCGAAGGCTCCCTTGGTTAGGGATGCGGATGCTGCTGCTTGTGCTTCGTCGCGAGGTCCGCCGCCCGCCCTGCCACCGCGCTTTCTGAATGTGCCCCGACCTCGTCCGGAGGGGCGAGTGGTCGAGACAAGCCCAAAAGTTCGGCCCCCACCTCCACCACCTCGAGCCATGGTGAGCTGTATAAAATGTGAGCTGAGATGCGATCGATGAGAGTGTCAGATGCTCGACGATACTGAGCGAAGCAGTGCTGGTCTTGAGATCGAGAGCGCGGGAAAGTAGAGCAATGCGAGGCGCGAGTGAGAGCAAAGGAAGGAAGACGCGGTGAGTGTGACTGACGAGCAAGATTGCTGAGGTGCGGTTGGGAGGCAGCGACTCGATGTGTGTCAGGCGGTGCGAAGTTGGTCATGAATACTGGCGGGGCTAGCTGATGTGGGGGCTTGAGAAGAATAGGGAGCAGCGCACGAAAGTGCACAAACATGTATGTACGCGCGGTCTAGTCGTGAGTCACAGTGTTCTTGTTGAGCAACGCGTCCGTGGTTTACGGTACGCGTGTGCCGGCACACCGCGCGACCGTGCACGCGTAAAGTGCAACGCGCGACGCGTTCTTGCGCGTCCCGTATGTCCGCCGCTGCAGGCACGCAAGGGTGCTCCGTTGATCGAAGGAGGGGCACACTCGAGCCCAAACTCATGAGACCCTGCTCCCCTTGACGACACTCGACAGGACATCTCAAGCGAAGAAGTGGAGTGACAGTCTCTCCAAGCCGACAAGCCGAGGTCCCCCCAGGCCCAGCTCAGTCAGATGCGCAACAGCAGAGCTTGATGAGCCCAACAGTGTGCATGGATCGCGTACAGGGCAAAGGTATTCGAGCAGCCGTCAAATGCGCCTCCCTTTCGATCCCAGGAGCGGTAGCCAAAGAGGTAAAGTGCATCGATGGATGCTCATGCATAGCTTCGCCTGGACGCATTCTCACCATCGCGCAGGAACAATCTAAGTCTGATTACGAGCATCCAGCCAACGTCTGATACCCTTGCGACTTGCCAATCTCACAGCTCCTCCATCTCTCCACGCAATGAGCGGGGCGATCCTCCTATAAAGTCGCACAAGATGAGCGCATACAGCCCTAAGCTCCCACTCCTTCACATCCAACAGCTCCCACCAAGGAGCCGGATCAAGCGGTAGGCTAAGCAGCAATTGTCTCTCTGATGTGCTTTCTGTAGCTTCCGACCCACTGGGCGTGAGCGTGAGCTGGTAAATGCTTGCAGCGGCGAGCACGTGTGGCGGAAAGAGGCACGGAAGCGATGTCTGGAACCTAAAGAGGGCACAGTCGGAGCAAAGAAGATTCCAGTCAGGATGAGCTCTACTTTTATCAAACACAGCCTCCCTCACATGTCATTGAGCGTGCCCCAGGCTCTCTGCATTAGCTCGTTCTGCTGTGTGATGCCCAGCATCTGAGCATAGTTGACCATGGTGGCATGAGGCGGCACGACGTTCGTGTTGAACCCAAGTCGTTTCAAGATCTGCATCTCTCCCACCACCAGTGCGTCTTTGGCGTCGTAGAAGCTCTGAGCAAAGTACATCGACACTTTGTGTTGATACGACGGCGGGCCAACCTCGTCACTACCATTCTTACTAGCATGGCCAGTGGTGCTTGCTGGTTCTGTCGCGGTGGTTGGGCCCTTGTAGAACCATAAACCTCGCTCGCCGCAATGCTCCGAGTAGTGCTCTGCGCGCTTGATGAGGTACTCGAACACGTTGAGCAGGTCTCGCAGCCGCAAAGATGCTTCAACGAGTTTCGAAGCCAAAAATAAAGCAGCAGGAGCAAGATCCTGCGTGTAGAGAGCGACGCTCGTGTCAGAGCACGATGCGCAATCCTCAACATTTCCGCTGCGCTTGTGAATTACGCGAAGTGCCTCTCGAGTACTGCGCATGCACTCACAATGACGGAAAAGTCACGCATGCTGCTGACGAACCAGAATCTCTGAAAGAGGGTGCAGGCAGTAGCAGCGGCCACTTGCGGCAGATCCAACAGCATCGTAGCATCTTGGATCGTCTGCGCGCCCCACGCCCTCAACGCATCCTCCACCTCGACGGGAATGCCATCTCCACGAGAGGGTGTGGGTGATGCAGCTTGTTGAGGGTGCAGCAGCGGTGGGAGAGGCGCTGGCGGTGCTGACATGTTGTCAGAGATGTGGCCCAAGAGATCGCTCAGCTGCGACAGACGTTCAAAGTCGCGTCATTGCGACTGGAAGTGCCAGCGCAAGGCTTCCTATTGGGGAAAGGCACAAAAAGCAGGCGAGGAGGGGTGAATGAACGAGGTTGGAATGACGCACAACATGGCGTTCGCAGGTGGCGGTGGTGCAGAAGAAGATGTCGAAGCAAGACCCACCACCTTGCCCCACTCACGTGACTTGGTGGTACGGCGGAAGCGAGCAAAGGAAGACCGCGCGCGTTTGCCTGACGCAGCATGCTCGTCGCTGCTGCTGCTGCACGCGCATGCAGCTAGATGGGAAGCGCGGTATAAAGAGTAGGCAGCTGAGCGAGTCTTGTGGTGCGTGCAATCACACATCACGAACGTGTATGCACAAAGCGGCGGTCCTACAACTCCTACCGACCTACGCGAACCTCCGACCTGAAGCAGACAACAAAATCCTACGACCCTTTAATCAGTGAATGCCAAACTCGACCCTCGCCATGGCGCCTTGAAGCTCCACCACCAAATCGCGACGGCTTGCAGTCTGCGTGAGCAAAGGCACAAGCACAGCATGGCACCTTCCATTCTGCTCTCAGACGCCATCTCGGACTCGCATCAATCGGCTTCTACATCCAGCTCTTCACCTGCTACATCGACGTCGGTTACAAGCCCAAGCGAGGATGCCAGATGGCTTGAAGGACGATGCAATGGCCCCCGCAAGCGACGCATCAAGGTGGCCATTGTAGGTAGTGGTCTTTCTGGCCTGGTAGCTGCACACCTCCTGCTCACCAAAACCAGCTCTGACCCCGATGCTGTTGATGTGGAGGTGCACATCTTTGAGAGATCAGAAAAGCTTGGCATGGACTCGCAGAGCATCGATGTGCCCGAGCAATTCAGAGATGCGGGTGTGCTAAATGCAGAGTTGAAGGGCAAATCAAGGGTGGACACGCCAATGAGGAGCTTCAATGCTGGTGAGTGGACCTCGCTTGTAGCGAGCGAGAGCGTGCGACATCTTGCCTTTGAGAAGCATATATGCTTACAGCTGCAACAACGCTGCATCTCATCACATGCTTTCGATCAGGCTATTACCCGCGCCTGCTTCGGCTGTATAGGCGCATAGGCATCAAGACCAGACCTTCCAATTTCACATTCAGCTTCAGCACCCTGTCCAGCGCTGCGTCTGGCCGTCCAGGTCCCTCGCCGCACTTGCTTTACGAAGGCTCTTCAGGTGCTCGAGGCGTCTCACTTCCTTCCAGGCTGTTTATGACGTCGAACGCGCTGGGTCAAGAGTCGCTTCAGAGCGAAGGCAGTGCTGGCGCAGCAGCGCTAGTATCTCGCCACGTGGACAGCCTCAAAGCGTACCTCTCTACGCTCATCACCCTCATCATCTCCTACTTGTACTTGCTAATCGTCGCGCTATGGCATCATCATCTCGGCAATACTACCGATCCAACCCATCCACTCGCCACCACTCCGCTTTCTGATTGGTGCGAGCATCACAAGCTCAGGCGCAGCTTCGTAGACACCATCTTGATACCCATGTTTAGCGCCGTCATGACTGCCAGAGGTCAGACGGTGAAAGAAGCACCAGCAGCAGAGATCCTGTGAGTGGTTTCGCGCCCTCGGACGAGCGAATGGGCGCTCACTGGCGCTGTCTGGTCTCCCACAGCGCATACATTGCTGCCACCTTTTCGCGCAGTCACTTTACCGTGGCTGCGGGGGTCCGCGCCGTGCAAGAGCGCCTACTGAGCGAGCTGCAGCCTTCTCATATACACACCGGCACAAGTGTAGTCGCCGTGCTGCCCGCTTCATCTCGAAGTGGTGCAGCAAATTTGCTTGTGCGAGAAGACGACACGGAACATCTGCACACTGATTTTGCTCACGTCATCTTGGCAACGCAAGCGGATCAAAGTGCTCGTTTCTTGGCTGCCTACAGCGACACTCTCTTATCCTACCCCGTCACCTCCAAGGGCGAGAGGCTGGCCTGCTCGCTCGAATCAAAGCGGATCCGCGTGACTGCCGAGGCGCTGGCTAGGTTCAGATACGAGCGCAGCGTGGTCATCAACCACACCGACGCATCCCTCTTGCCTCCCAACAAGAAGGACTGGCGCGATCTGAACCTCGTCACGCTGCCACATTCTTCTGCATTTAGTTCGCAAGCTTCAATTTCGGAAGCTACAATGGCCACGCACATTATCTGCAAAGCTTCATCTTCCAGCTCTCGCAATCACGTCCTGTTGCAAACGACTAACCCACTCGATTCGTTGTATCCCGACAAATCGTGCATCATCTCGCAGAGCTCGTTCGACAGAGCGATCCTGTCCATTCACGCCAAGCAGAGCTCTGGAGCGCTTTTCGAATGGCGACCTCGCAACATCTCGGCGACCCTCGCGCTCGATCGAGCTGACCATTTGTCCATATTTCAGCGTGCGAAGGCCGGTCTGCAAAGGCTCGTCTTGCGCGTCAGAGATAGAGCATTGGGCCCAACGTGGGAAATGCATGTAGGGCACGCACAAGGCGCACCGTCGAGCATTGAAGCTGCTCCCTTCCCAGGCATCTGGACATGCGGATCTTGGAGCACGGGCATCCCCTTGTTGGAAGGTGAGTGAGGCGTCGTGGTAGGCACAAAGTCGTTCGACAGCCCGGACTCATCTCTTTATTCCATCCTCTGCCCACCATTTTTGGTCCGTCGTGGTATTGCTGGCGCGTGCAGGATGCGTGCACAGCTCCGAACTCGTGGTTGAAGCGCTCTTGCGGTCCGAATCAAAGTCGAAGCCCGAGTCGCGAAAGAACGTCTAGCCATCTCTTGCTCGTCCCCAACCTAGATTGCGAGAGGGACATTCGCTTAGCCATTAATCTTATTGCCTCGAGTCCTCTTCTGAGCACACGTGGTTCTGCGTCGAGCTATAGTCATGTTCGGCACAGTGAATTAGTCAACAACGGCGTCCAACTACCATTAGCGAATCGTGCACTCGAGCTCGAAAGTCATCGCTTCTGGCTTCATTGGTCTGCTGCTTCGCAAATACCACATTCCGATGGGAGGTATCGTGACCTGCATCTTGATGCTTTTCAAGCTGAACACTAAAGGCTCAAGTCTGGCGTGCTCTGGTGGGAAAAGTCATATGTACTTCGGCGGCATTGCTGGTGCATATCAGATCTCCATTGACGCGCAATCAAGAGAAAACACGTGCTGGTTGTGGAATGATGCGATTGGGGCAGAGCTTGCTATTGTAGGGAAAACGAGAATTTTGCTGATACAATGCATAGGACACGCGTACCTCCCTGGCAAAGTCAAATTGGATGGATGGATACCTGTAAGCGCTCCATACTAATCCAGATGAAGCGGCTTCCTCTTGTCTCATGCTTCGGTAGATACATCTTGACGTCGCTCCGAATCGCTCAGCCCAGCGCCGGCGGAAGGTCTATGTTGAGAATAACCCGAAGTAGCAGCAGCAGCCAATAACCTCGCTTCTTCTCTATCCTTTCTATAGTAAATGAACTGACCCAGCACGCAAAAGTCTAAAAGAATGGTGCCTGCATGCGCGTGGAAGTCCAGACGCCGCTCACAAAGTAAGTCACACAAAGGCTGGCAAGCGATGGGACACAGACAAGGGGGGGGGGAAACAATAACAGTCGAAACGCACCTAGACTGCCCACAATCCAGCTCGAATTTTCGAGCAGGTATTCTCGGTCGAGGGACTTGACCAGCACGGACAGGACATATGTAGAATTTCTGCGCCAGCTCACACGAAGGGCATGAGCGCCCAATTCACAAGACGCAGTGTGCGTCGCATGACTCACCCTGCCACTGCAAAGACGAAAAGTTCGAGGCTGAGACCTTCGCACTTTGTGGTCAAATTCTTCTTGAGTTGCGGAACTCGTGAAAAGACTTTTGACGCGTGACGAGAAGGTTGAGTCCAGCATCAGCACGCAGCGCAAAGATGCATGCAAGCTTTGGTCGCGCGGCACTTACGATACAGCGCAGCGCTCGCCCAGCCAGACACCTGCGCGTCCCATACTAATCCTGGCTTATCGTCTGGGTTCTTGTGATCTCCACCATGATGTCCTCCGTCATCCTGAGGATATCTGTCAGCCACGAGCCAAGCAATGACTCCCGTAGCGATGACCACAGCTACTGCGAAAAAGTACTTCAGAGCCTCTCTTTGCCAACTTGTCTGCTTGGGCTGTTTACACGGCACTGGGCCGATCGTCGCTACCGAGATGGACGAGGCGCTGGCTCGTGCGGGAGATGCGAGGTTCGACACGAGCGGCGTAGTCTCGTGCGCAAGAGAGCCGACGGGTGGATGGTAAAAGTCGTGATACTTTTTGTACCAATAATACTGCAAGACAAGCAATGTGCAAAGGATGAGCATGCGCAATCTTGAGGTCAGACGTGCTACTCCCGAGGTGCTCACTTGTCCTATCAAAGCGATGTCGCATAGACAGTAGTATCCCGCCAGCACGACCTATGAGAGCGCATCCCAGGTGGTCGTTGACAAGAGTGAGCCAAGCGTACCAAACAGCATACGTGCGCACCCACCACCCGCTCACCATGGTGACCAGCAATCCCTGCCTCCAAGCTCCCACAAAATTGAGCGCATCGCCCAGCAACCAAATGGCGAGAAAAGCGACTGACAGTCCTTCTCCCGACTTCAACACGTAATTTTCCCACAATTGACTCCAAGAGGGAAGGATCTAGGCAACATTTCAGCCAATATGCATGGAGAGAAGAACTAAATGAGCCTTTTTGGGTGCACTGAGGCGTGTGATGCTCACGGACTGTAGACGATCACCTTTTTGTATGCGCGCGTGTGCGTGGGGATTTGGACGGCAGAGATGCGAGCGAGCCCAGCACAGGAAAAGATCGGGGAAAGAGCGTATGGTCAGCTGATGAGCGAGACAAGTGGAGGAGCAAGCAAGGGGGCAAGAAGTGCGACCTGACGCGACTCGTGATTGAAGGCGATGATGATCAAGAGACTTTCGCTTTGCGCCTCTACCAATGCGATCGACACAATGCCTTTGCCTCGCACCCATCGACTTCGTCCTGCAGACGACCACTGAAGCGTATCACGCACCCAACACGCGACAGATATCCACCCTATAATGCTCGACCACTGTTCGGCTGTAAGCCCGTCGCCCGGAGGTGTTTGCGGGGTCGAGTGCGATGATCCGTGCTTCAAGAGCTCGAAAAGAGGTGCTGCTGCTTCCCGCATTGTTGCCGCGACTCTATCTCTATGCAGATGCAATCTCCCTCGAGCGTGAGAGGCGCTTTGATGGGCGATGCGAGAGCTTTGCTGTCTGGTTGCAAACAGGCAAGGTGGGACGAGGAGCGAGGCGAAGGTATTGAGGGAGAGTGATTGTGCTGTGCAAGCTGAAGGGTCTGTCGGGATGGTGATGAGGGGTCAACTGCTACTGTTCTGACAAGATGGTGACCGTGCTGTGTGTGAGGTCGCCAAGGGAATCTCGGAATGAAGAATTGGATGAGTCACAAGTGTGTGGTGCTGCATGGTTGTCGAGCTCACCAAAGTTCTCGAGATGCTCGTGACTCGTGACTGTAGACCCAGCAGAAGGCCAAACAAAAGCACAAAGTGCGCGCGGCCCCACACCAAGCTCACCTCGCGATGCGGCAGCGCTCTGATCGATGTCTGTCGTGCGCATCGATTTCGGCCAAATTTCGTTTCACGTACGCGCGCACGCGACTCGTGCTGATGAGTGTATTGTACGGTACGTACATTCATGGATTCTTTTATTCAGATTAAGCACACGCGGGCTGGCACAATAAGCTCGGTCGGTGACTCGCCTATCTGCGCCTGCATTTGGATTTGAAATCAAGAAATTGAATGAAAATGCCAGATAGAGAAGTTCAGGTCCAATCCAGCCTGTTCGTGAATTTTGAAATCCGGCACTCACACGCGTCGCGACTCTGACTCAACCGCGCGCTACGCATTACGCCTGCAGGAAAGCGCCAAATTAATAGCGTGGCGTGCTGCTGAGCCTGGCAAAGTTGTGAGTGAAGTGGTGCGTATATTCGTGATTGCGCATTAAAGCGACGATCACATATGCTGAGGGCCGATCTTGATGACATCGACTGATTGATCAACCACAGGCAGCCAAGACTGGCGTGAACATCGCTCCCACTCGCATCCTTCCGATCGGGCCCCTTGCCCTCCCACGACTCGCCCGATCGTCCTGCACGCTCTGTCTGTCGACCTCTGCTCTTCGACGCCACGCTTCACTGAAGTCGCGCGAATGCGTCGCCCACGATCATCTCATCCTGCCGCGATCTCACGGAACAGCATACCAGTGGGGCTCTAGACCAGAAGTGTCGAAAGGTTTCGCCTCGCTGAGGCGGTGCTCCCGCCGAATAAACGCCTACCACTAATCTCAGAAAGCCGCGCATTGTCCTTCCTGCGTCACACGAGTGGCATGATTGCAGGCCAAGAAAGCGAAGGTGGGCTATGTTCACTCGGTCGAGCTGAACTGAGATCGATCACACCATCCTGACATGAACTCCTCTCCGCGGCTCCATCAAGACTCAACACCACATGGGACTGCGAACACAGCTAGCGCTACGAGTTCACTTGCCTCTTTGATTGCTGAGCAACCAAATTTCGAGACTGTGGAACGGGAAACCAGTCATCTAGGACCCGACGCGGAGGGCGCCAGGCCGGAAAGCGTCCAAAGAGAGGTGACTCGACAGGAGCTGGAGAATGCTGAGGTAAGCTCTCAACAGGCCGCCTCGGGTGACGCAAGTGCAGGTGAAATCTCAGAAGCAGGCCCATCAGTACCCAAAGCACGGACACCATCCTCGTCAGACGAGACAATTGCGGACCCCACAGTCATCGATTTGACAGAGCTCGACACTCCCCCGCCCGATCCGCGTCGCGATCCCAACTACGAGCTGTTCGCAGCGGCCAAGGCAAAGGCATCCTTTGCACCCAATCATTTCAGCAACACGGCCTCGAGCGGAGTGGAGATCGATCAGCACCTACAAGTCATCAAGCAGTCGTTGATCCTCGCTCAGCAAAAAGGTGTGGGTGTTGCCGACGCGCTTCTTGCACCTCCCACATTCAGCACAGTCTTGTCGCTCAAATATGCATCGTGCATACGCGTGCTGAGCATCATCAACACGCTCTCTTCCGAAACACCTGGCTCGCTGCATCAAACGCTCCAGCGTATTGTTCGCGCGCTCATTGACATGATGGTGGATCGCGAGAGTCAACGACGCATTCAGCAGGGAGGCAGAGTGTCCCCTCTACAACAGCGGCAGCAAAATCTCGTCTCCCAGTCGGTGCCGCATTCTCAGCCACTGCAGACCAATCCCGGGCCCATTCGCACCTCTGCCTCGCCAGTCATCTCTTCGTTTGTGCAGACACGGAATTCACAGTCGCCAGTGCAAGCCAGGCTACCTGATGGCGCTGCTTCGGGCTCGACCCACGTGCAACAATCAGCACCTGCGCAGCAACCTCATGGACCGGCTCATCAAAGCCGATCACCTATGAATTATCATGCCAGGAGTCAGCATTCCCCTTCGGCGGCTCAATTACTTCAAGCGATTCCTGCACCTGCTCTGGTGTCGACCAATCCATATCTGCAGCATCCACTGTCGATTGCTGGGCTTGAACAG